TCTCAGGATGTTAGGCTGAATTAATGAAGCCAGGAACAAAAGGCATAAGGCTGCAAGGTAGCACTTACAGAGACTTTAGGAAAGACAAATCTCATCTGTAGGGACCAGTTCCCAGTTCCCATGGACCAGTTCCCAGCAATGGGTACTTACAGGAAAGGAACCCAAAAAGCCCTTTTGGGATAATGGGGTATTCTAGGCCTTGGTTTCCATCACGATTTTACACACACGCACACATATATAACATGTACATATATATGCAATTTGTATGCGTAGAGTGTGTGTGCATTTAATTGACAGTAAACAGCAAAAAGGTGATTCTTTAAAATCAAAAATGTGCTGGCATGTTCTGTTTCATTGTATTCATCCCATTTCATGTTGTACTGAAAACTGTAACACTGGTTGCCTCTGGGAGGAAACTGGGTAGTCAGAGATGGGCGAGGGAAAGAGATTTTCAAAACGTTTACTCTGTTTGCTTTTTAAACTTTTGAACTGGGAGGCTATGTTAGTTGTTTTTAAAAATAAATAGAATTGTGAATTAAGAAAAAGAATTTTGAAAACGTGTTGTTCATGGGTACAGAGTGGGAGTATGACCTGAGGCCCTGCCTGCCCGGGGACTGAGGAACTCTTTGTCACCGCATCTATTCCAGTTGCGGAAACCCTGATTTTTGAGATGGGCACTCTGTGTGGTCTGTATTTTATCAAACTCTTCCAAGCTTGAGTGAATATCAATGTTTTAGCTTTTTTTCATATTTTAGGCTTTTTCATAACCATATCATAGATAAGTGTGTGTGTGTGTGTGTGTGTGTGTGTGTGCGTGTGTGTGTGTGTGTATCTGTTCAAGAATGCTCAATCATTTGGGTGGTTTTATCTCCTATGGGTGTATCCTTAATCAATTCTGTGTACTTTGGGACATTTTAAACTTTTAAACTGAATCATCTGGCTGGGTGTGGTGGTGCTCACTTATAGTGCCAGCTAGGCAGTTCCTTGGGAGGATGAGGCAGGAGGACAGACTGAGCCCAGGGGTTTAAAGTTTAAGGTCAGCCCTAGGCAACATAGAGAAACATGGTCTCAAAAAAAAAAAAAAAAAAAAAAAAGAATCATTCTGTTATTTTGTGCTTCTTTGCCCCAAATAACCCTTGTAAAATCTGCCCACAGTGGCTGCCTTCAGTTGCTGTCTATCTTACTGTTCTACAGCAATCCATGGTAGAAATGAACAAATCATTTATTTAGTCATTGAAATATTTTCCAGGGCTGGGGTTGTGGCTCAGTGGTAGAACACTTGCCTAGCAAGTGTGAGGCACTGGGTTCGATTCTCAGTACCTCATAAAAATAAATTTAAAAATAAAGGTCTATTAAAAATATATTTTAAAAAATATTTTCTATACTTTTAACAAGGCATCACCTACTGCAAAAATAAATCCAAACACTCGGCACAACTTTTCAGGCACCACTGTTTCCCCAACATGTCCTGTTGTCACCTAGACAGCCTCATGTCCCTTGTCCCCTCACTGCTCTCTGCCAGCTCATGTGGTCATCACATCCATTTATTTGCGCTGTGGCTGAAATACTCAGCACACCTTCAAGGTGCTCCCCCTCTGGTTTTATTCCTTAGGGCTGGACCACTATTGCCCATGAACCAAGTCTACCCAAGCCATTACTGTCCATTAAGGTCTGGTTTAAGCATGATCTCCTCATGAAGAGACCTCCTTATGAAGTCCCCACAATATTTCCCAACCACAATGCCACTGTGCCTCCCAAACTCGAGATGAACTGTCCTTTCCAGAAGCTTCTACCATATTTGCTTCATGCTGACTTGAGTTACAGCCTCTTGTTATGATGATGTCTCAGTTTTTGTCTTTCTAGTGCTTGGCACTAAAATCTTGCAGGTAATGGGTAGGTGGTGAAAGTCCTTCCAGTAACTGCTGGCACAGGCACTAAATCATTCAAAAATTATATGTTTAAAAAGTTAATTTCCACAAAAATGAAACAACACCAATTAAGGTGAAAAAAAAATCACTGCTGATCAAGATAGGATTTGGGTTCTTCATATTTCTAACATTGATCTTTTTTCTATTCTCACAGAAAATGCAAGCTTTAGAATTCCTAGGAGAGAAAACGTTTGAGTATTATACAATTTAAGATCATTTGATAAGAAATACACTATTTAAAAAACCTTTCGACTTTGAATAGCCTTTTAAACATGGATGGGCAAATAAAGGAGGGAAAACTCCAAAATTTTAATGAAATCAAACTCCAGTGAATTATGACACAAAAGCAACAAATATTTCAGAATCTAAAGATCAGGCCAGGCACAGTGGTATGTGCCCGTAATCCCAGCAGCTTGGGAGGCTGAGGTAGGAGGATCTCAAGTTCAAAGCCAGCTTTAGCACCTTAGTGAGGCCCCTAAGCAACTTAGAGAGACCCTGTCTCAAAATTTAAATTTTTTTTTAAAGGGGCCAGGGGATGCAGATATGGCACAGTGCTTAAGCACCCCTGGGTTCAACCCTTGGTACAAAAAAAAGAAGAAGAAGAATTTAAAGAGCAGTATTGTTATCTTTCTGTCAAAGAAAATACACACCTGGAATGCAGACACTGTAAACAGGAGAAGAAATAAAACAAATAAGATTATAACTAGGTTGAATGTCTGGCCATTGTTTGCCTCTGTAACAGTTTTTATTTAAAAAAAAAAAAATATATATATATATATACACACACACACATACACAGATGGAAGACATCACTGCATAATACCAAATATGCCTTTCAATTATTTTATGTCAAAACCATTATTTTCAATAGGTGTTATTAAACAATGCCTCATAAATGCTGGGATATGGCTCAGTGGTAGGGCTTGCCTAGCATGCACCAGGCCCTGGGCTCAATTTTCAGCACTACAAACAAAAAGAACACATCATAGAAAAATGTTTATAACTTATAGTTACAGAAATTAGGCTACAGTCTTTAATATTAATAGAGCTCTAAAAGTCAATAAGAAAAAGACAAATGGCCCAATTGAAAAATAGATGAAGGTTATTTATAAACAGATAATGCAGTCAAAACATAATTATAGTAGCTCCTGAACATAATAAAATAAATATTTGATCTCAGAGAAATGCAAATTAAAAATCATGCTGGGATATCCTTTTCCACCTGTAAGATTTACAAGATCAAAAAGTTTCATAAAATATTCTTGGCAAGAGTATAGAGAAACAGGCACACGGCTGGTAGGAGTATAAACTGGTAGAACCCCAGCAAATGCAACATGGTGAGATCCTTTAAAATTACAAGTGCCCAACCCCTCGGAACCAGCAGCTTCACTTCTGGAAATTTAACCTTCAAAAACACTCGTACACATGCAAAATGATGTATGAAAAAGACCATTAGTTTTAACAATGGATTTGCAAAAGCTTGGAAGTTATCTTAGTGACTCCATAGGACACATTAAATATTTGAGACATACTTAACAAAAGAATTCTATGCATCTGAGAAAGAAAATGGAAGGGATCACCATGAAAGAAGAGTAGCAGCCCATATGACATTCCATAATTTGCATAGAAAATTGTGTATTTGCTGAAATATGAACTTATCTGCAAAGATACGCAGGAAACTGGCAACATTGGTTGCCACTGGAAGAAAATGGGAGGCCTGGGACTAGCGTGGGAAAGACATTTTCAAAATGCTTATACTTTTGTACCTGTAGAATTGTATTGATTACTTTTTTAAATAAATAAAAAAGTAAACTTTTTTATTGAACTTTTGAACTGAGGAACTGTATTAGTTACTTTTTTAAATAAATAATTTTTTTAAAATTAAGAAAGAAAATCTAAAAAAAATTAAAATGTTGGGTGTTTTTTGGTGCAATGAGTAAGACACAGCCCTAAGACTATTGGCCACTGTCCAGCCTAGCACAATACAGTACATCCTCCTTATTTGAGGGTTCAGGCAACTTCGTAAGAGGATAGAATAGACCTGGAATAAACTGGAGAAACACCAGTGGCTAGAAGACTCAGGGACCCTGACAAGACACAGCTTGTTTTAAGAGAAAACCAGGACTAGCATGAATCTGCAGAAAAATCTTCACAGTGATCAAGTTAATCTAGAAAAATGACAGCCTATGTCTCTATTGTGCATTTATTTATTTCCCAACTTTAAGGTTAAGAAATCTATATCCTGTTAACAAGGTATTTGTTAGTAAAACTGCTTACTCTGCACTTTGCAAAGAAAGGTTTTCTCTGCTCTCAGTCACACAGGTAACAGATGAGAGAGGCCTTCCATGTCAGACACTTCCCTTCTCACCTGTGAAGACGGCTTTTTGGAGAAACAGATCCATTGTTCAGGGCTATTAAAAGAACATGCCCATGTATTCTCTTGGGACTTTACCTGGAAATACGACTGTTTTCCACACTGGGCACACCTGGGGGGGTGGGGTGATGGGCATAATCCACCTGTTTGTTTGCCTCCTATTTTCTCACCAGGGAGCAAAGACAGTAAATCCAACCCTCCAGGGGAAGGAAAAACAAATCATTCAGTGCCCATCCCTGGTGGCTGATAAAGCCAGCAGTCTTGAGAGTGTACCTAAGCTGGTCCAGATATGCCTCTGGCGTGCAAGAATGAACACAAGTTCAAACACCTTTGCTCCTGCATACATGGAAGAGCAGGTCAAGACCTGTGAGTTTCAGAAAGCCTAAGTTTTCAAGTGTGCTGGGAACATCTGTAGGTACAGGTGCATGTGGACTGCAGACCACCTCGCCTCTGAGCCTGGATGCACACACCGGGGGGTGACAACTCTGTACAGGCAAGTGAGTCTTTGAGGAAAGTTGAAGTAAGTATCTACCTGTTTGAGAAAGGTTGGGTGAGAAAGTGAGGCAGGGTTGACACTTAGTACGCCGCAGTATACGGCTTTCGGCCTGGCACCCGGCCCTGGGCACCCCCTCTTCCCTGCCCGGGCGCCCCAAGGTCACCTGCCCTCCTTGGCACCCCTACCCAGCCCGAGCTCTCACCAGAACAGCAAGTTGGCACCCACGAAGCCGAGCAGGCTGCGCAGCGGCCTCTTCCAGCTCAGGAGCTCCTCGGCGCAGCAGCCCAGCCACAGCACCGGCTCCCCGAGCAGCCAGGTCACC